TATTATTTTTATCTCCTTTTTTTTACCGCCCGCCGCATAACAAATCCAAGTTGCATTTTCGTGGGAGTATCATGATCAAAGTCCCGAAGTCTCGGCGCAGATGAGAAACAAGGTTATACATACATGGAATAAAATTTTATTTCATTTCTTCTCGCCGATCAATGATCTCACTTACAATTCTTTGAGAATCACACAAATCTAATGGAAAAAAAGAATTAATTTTATTTTTTCCCCCTTCTCAAAAAAATTGCCTTATAAAAACCAGAGAAACAAGGAATAAAAAAAGTCTGGCCTAGAGCTACACAAATTTGAAAAAATGTAAAGACTGCCTAATTTTCAGAATCAATTAAAAGTTGGAAATCCCCAAAATTAAGGTGATTCAACTAGACTGGTATAATGTACTAGTAATGTTAAGCCAGCTATAAAGTGTATTCCTTTCTACATGTGTTGGTTTACACTAACAATTTCACAAATCTGAAGCTTTAATATTCAGGTATCAGTTCAAAATCTAAGTATGCCATCCGTTGCAACAGGGAATTTCATTGTGTACGGTAAACCTGTACCTTGAAATATAAGTTCCAACCCTATACCCTTTTTTGTAACTTTTGCCAACTCTGTTTTCTAAACTTTTCATACTGGATGCCAGAATATTCAGCATTGTTTTGAAGAGAACATGTTCTAAATAGTCATTATTTCCATTAGTCTTTCATGGATATTCAGTCCAATCTTGGATTTAATCTGGATATGGGATCAGGATATAGCGTTGATGTCAAATATGCCCTGGAAAAAGAAGTTGGAAAGTTAAAGTGGAGAGAACACATGTTAGTAGATTTCAAGGTAAAATATAGTATTTTTATAAATAGACCATTTTCTCTGCGAGAACCCACGTTATGCGTAAAATCGAATGTAAAAACAGGACAAACAAAGGTCATATCACCGTAGTGGCGTCAAACATCGCGTGGGATTTGACAAAGCTGAATGTATTTTGGGGAATATTTCCACGCTTAATAATGTGCTGTACACATTGGCATTTCAACTTTTAGCTATGAAAACAAATTTGAGTTGGAAATCAAATCGTTTGATTTTTGCGGCAGGCGTTGAATGAAAAATCACCTAATGAGTTTAATTCCAACACTTAATTCTGAATAGATAACCTGTACTCAAACAATAATTTTTCCTGCCAAAACTTTAGTACAATACTATATATGCCTATTTTCAGGTATTTTTTTTACCAGCTACAGGTACATGATATAACATTTTTGAAAGAAATATGGAAAATAATATGAAAACAGTTGCGAATAATTTTTATTTTAATTTCTGAATGGTGACAAAAGTTGACTTTGTCACTCAGAGGGTTAATGATATGCAAATTACCTAATTAATATGCACATATTGTATATAGAACTATTTTGTGAATGATGACAAAAGTTGACTTTGGTGCTCAAAGGTTAATGATATGTAAATTACCTAATTAATATGCACATACGATATATGGAACTATTTTGTGAATGGTGACAAAAGTTGACTTTAGTGCTCAAATGGTTAATGGTATGCAAATTACTCAATTAATATGCACAGATGGTATATAGAACTATTTTGTGAATGATGACAAATGTTGACTTTGTCACTCAGAGGGTTAATGACAGTCTTCTCTTGTATAATATGAGGTTATTACGAGAATACCAAAGTATACAGATGGAGTATCGACCGACGCCCAGTGGAAGTCGATGCGCAGCGTACTGTCTGAGTGCATACTTTGAGGTATTCTCGTAATAACCTTATTATAAAACTTTTCCTTCCAAGGATACATCATGGGAATGCCAAAATTCAAAATGTTTAGAACAAACTTCTTTGTGTGGAGTCAGGTCAAACCCTGATGGCAGCCATGTTTGTGTTTATTATTAGAGGATGCTTACGCGCGTAATCATTCCATATGTGGAATTTACATTTTCTTATATGGTAGGATGAAAATACCCAGTGGAATACCGCAAAATTATGGCACGCTGTAACTTACGGCGTTACGGTGACAGATGTATACATGTAATAATAATTAAATACATTCATGTATTTGTTGTAGGGTATGATGTATGCACACTTCCTAGCTGCATTGTTATCATTTCTAACTGTGTATTGGTATGCTGGTATATGGCTACTTGTATTCTTTATATACAGTAGTACCCAGTGCCCTTCTTATTCTCACATCATTGGATTTGTGGGTGCATCTGGCTTCTGGTAAGTATTATTTGTAGATTATTAATGTCTTTGATTTCTATCAATAATAATAAATTTATTGCATCCTTAGAAATACATTGTTTCTATCAGTTAATAGCAATATGATTCTTTCAAATTCAATAAGTGCTGATTTATGTGAAATTTGTTTTTTCAAATTTGAAGTACTTACTATTCCCTTCAGTTGTGTCCTCTGTAGACAGCAGCATCAAAAACAACAACATGCTTACAGAACTGTGTAGATCATTGATTTTAGCAATCAATTCAATGACTATCATTCCAATATGGTACTGTAAAGGGGTTAATTATTCACTGGGTTTTAATTTTGCTTATTTCGCTGACTGGAAAATGCGCTAAATTAAAACCCAGTGAATATGTAAAATTTAGCTTAAAACACATTGTCTAAATGATAAAACCGTGAATTTAAAACCCACTGAATATGCCTGAAATGGTAACCCAGTGAAAATTAGTCATTTTACACTAATCAACAAATGATGAAACATTGAATATTTTGCACTTATCATATAGTGTTATTGAAATCAAGATGTTTTCCAGTCGCACTGATAAAGTACATGCTGTGTAGAATGAATTCTAAAGTAACTAAATTTATATTACTTTTTCACAGGCACAAGAGATACATGATAATATATGGTATATTTTCACTAGTAATATTTGGTGTGTCATTGGGACTGGCAATAAATATACTCTTCCAGATATTGGTATGTTTCTATGTTATAAACTACTGTTTTTGCTTTGTTGGAACCAAAAAATGCACTTGCAAAATTCTAAATCATTAAAATATTACTTATTTTGACCATAGAAAAATCTATTTGTTTGAAATTCTGAAATATTTTGTCCAAAAATTTTTTTGTGAAGTATAGAATATAAATGGAAATATTTTGTTAGATGGTACAATGCCTTTGAAGCAGCAGAAAACTGCCTTGCATTCTATTAAATCTCCCCTCTCCTGCTTCCATTGGGGAATCATCAATGTTAGCCTTCATTGTAGCAACAAAAGAACCTATTACTTGTCACTGTGAAACTTCCACAAATTATATCAGAATATCTCCATAATTAGACCTTGAAATCGAACATCATAAATCTAATATGTGCTATGTACTTTGTAAGTAAATATATAAATTAGGAAATATTAATTCTAAGGAACAGTGATATTTTCTGCTGTACTGTCATTCTCCTTTTTATATACTTTGCATCATCATTGTGATGACCTCATACAATCAATCAAACATTTTCTGTCATTTCGCATTTCACTTTGAAAAGAAAACAACCAAATGGTTATCAGTACATGCTGAAATAAAAAATGTCTTTGATCAAATTCTTTTCCAAAAATGGGTTGGTGAGACGTTTTTTTTTGTGTGTGCAACCAGAATCATTCATTTCTTCCCATTTTAGGACTAAAAAGAAAAGTTCAATTTTCAGGAAAAAAAATCAAATAAAAATCACAAATTTAAAATAAAAATAAATATATGCACATGCATCAATTTGGAAAGAAACTTGACCCTATGTCAGGGTGTTTTATCAATGTCTTCAACCCATCTAATTTAATTCTTTCTCGTCTCACATTACAGACCCATGGTTGTGCTGACTGGGAGTTTACTGGTGGCTGTTCTCATCAAGTTGTTTATTCATTTGTTTTTTTTGCCATGCATTTCATCTTTGTGTTCATTTCCAACATCTTGTCTTGGATGTTGTTGCATAATTTCCGCTTCAATACTGGTGACATTCTGGAGAAGTATCTAGTGTTGACGAGAGATATTGAGAAAGTCATTGCATCGGCAAAATCTGGAAAGTAAGTGTATTTTCAATCATCTCGTAAAGTTGCACTTTGTTTGTTTGGGTGTTTTGTACTATTGTGTATCAGGCTTGCTTATTAGCTGGGTTCTATTTTCCCTGGGGGTCCAACTTGTGGAAATACCTGGAACCCATCTGTGAAAGGGGTTTTCAAAATGATCCTACACACATTTTAAAAGGTCTAAATTTCGTACCCTTTTCACTGTTAGAAAGCTAAAAGATCACACATCTTGAACTCGTGCCTAATCTCACGATATTTGAGCTTTCTAACCCTTCAGTGTAAGCAAGGGTTGGTCATATGTCATGATCGATGGTCGTTAACCAGGGGGCCAGACGTTTTCCTCGTTAAAGCAATAAAAAAAACGATAATCTCATTTAAAAAATAACCACCCTTATCACATTGGCAGTAATGGAAAAAACACCTTTTTGTCCATTTTGACTGAAATGGTAACCCTAAACGCGTAACGCGCGTTAACGTGCTTTTCTTTAAAAAAAAACACCTTTTTAACGCGTTTTCTTTCACAGACATGCGTACCAGATCATTTACCAGTTTCCCTGATAGCTAAATGCGCTATAAAATTAAAACTCATTGAACATACAAAGTTTAGCAATGTAGCACATTGTTTCCTTCATAGACCAGTGAATTTCTTGTGAATCTGCTGAATATCTCTGCAACATCAAATCCACTAAAATTAAACCCAGCAAATTATCCCCCCATACAGTATTTGATATTACCGGTATATTGACAACTATTGACAAGTTTGGGGAATATTCAGTCATTCACTATTGTCCAGAATATCAATTACTGCTGGCTGCAAGTAATTCAAAACGTTTTTTGTGAATCCACATGTGTTCACTTACACACACATAATTCGAAAATGAAATTTGACCACTGATTTTGAACACATTAGAATTCATCTAAGGACAACTAATGAACCAAAAAGGAAAAGTTAGCACAGCAGGTAATTTTAAATGAGTGACTGCATAAAATATATATAGTTCCGACTGCCTCAATGATAGTGGTGAACTGCCTCCACAAAGTACCGAGATAGCATTTTGTGATTATGCAAGGTATTAATATTAATACGTAGCAATTTGATGTAGAAATCAATTTTTTGGGGAAAGGTAACATCGTAATAAGTTCTATATTTAGAAACTGGCTTGTACATGAAACTTTAGGGTTTTGAAAATTGCATAATTTAAACAGAAATTAGGGAAAATGTGAATACAAAAATTTTCATCGGGCATAGATCAAAAATTTACATTAACATTTCAAATAGATGCCCTAACCTTTACCAACAGCATTAGGATGTATTTATATAGCCCCCCCCCCTCCCCAAAAAAACAATTCAATATGTTTCATATTTCTTTCTAGAATTAAAGAACAACGCAATGCTGCGTTTGAACTTGCCAGCTTAGCCACTACTGGTGATGACAGTAAATTCAGGATTGTTACAGAAGGCGGGTAAGTGATTCTCATCAGTCTTTTCAAAACAGGTTAGAAATTCATAGTTGTATTTATATTATCCCTCTGTTGATGCTTAGAATATGCTATGTTATACTATTACCACTTTGCAAATATTTGAGGTTGTGGATAAGTAATGAGAAATTAGCTACCCAATATGAAGTTTGAACAGGCATCATAAATTAACACTACCGGTGAGTTAGGAGGCTTTGTTTGTTTTTCAGGATTAGTTACATTGTACAGTAAATATGTTTGTAAGGGAATAAGACCCTTTAGTTCTCTTGAAATAAAATAGGCAGGAAAACAAGGGCAGGATATCTACTGTAAAGCTCTTTAAATTCAGGAGTTGAATTTTCATGAATTTCGTGAGTCAGGGGAAAATACAAAATTTTTAGCAGTGAAAGTTTTCTGCTGTTCTATGATGCCAATTGTTTGAATTCCGCAAAATTGTGTTTTCACAATTTCTTTTTAATACAAACTGCGATTATGGTAGTGTGATTTTAATGCTAGGTTTGTATTCCATGTAATAAACCACACCTCCATTTTTTTATACCTTGTGTAGTCTGGAAGTATTGATCTCGCTTGGCTTGTCACCAGATGAAGCAACCCAAGAATACGCAGCAGAGGCCATTGCTGAACTGTTGACAGTACCAGCTATACAGGTTTGTATTATAATAACCATTACTCTGGCCTAGTGTATACAACTGTAACAAGATGATTCATAGAAGTACAGTATGCATGAATGCATGTATTCCTGGGCTTCTGAAACTTAAAATTATAATTGTAGCCATGGTGGCGACTACTACATTGCTTTTCTTAGGGACAACATCAAAAGTTCAATGTAGGATAAAAAACTAATAATTCCTTTAGTTTTTTCTCAACCCCCCAGCCCCCCACTGAAACTTAATTGATAAATATTGATAATCACAGACTAGAAAAAAAACAAAACTACCGGTACAAATACTCCAAGATTTTTTTGACTTCATTAAAAAAGAAAATCGTTTTTGTAGGATGGAAACTTTTTGAGGTCAAATGCCCCCCACCCCCAAACTAAAGCAAATAAGTTTTGAATTCCAATTTGTTTATCGACTATTAAAGGAAACATGGAGAAATTATTACATACATGCTTTATTGTAGTCACATTTAAATGTAATTCAGCATTATCTGAAGGATCCACAGAAGCCAAGTGTACAATGCCTCTGTGCAATGTTCAAGCTGTATAGCCAGTTTGAACAGGGGTTTATAGCAATTATGAAAAACATGTCTGTCATATTTCCCTGCTCATCAACATCTACATGGTAATAATCATTGCATTCATATCAACAGAAGTGCTTCCTAGATTCAGTGTTTATTATCTATTTGATGTGAATTTTAGGACCAGTTTGTTGAGATGGGTGGTGTATCGACTCTGACTACGTTGCTTCATTCCAACGATCAGCGGATTGTACAGGAAGCAGCCACAGCGTTGTCTTACATTGTGTCTGATTCCGAAGATAACAAACCACATATTGTATCAGATCGAGGAATGGATGATATCGCACACGCTGCTAAAAATGGATCTGTCGCTACACAGAGAATTATTGCTGGCGTTTTCTTAGAATTGGCATTCAACGCTGACATCAGAGCCCAAATGTCTCATATGAATACACCAGGTAAATTATATTTATGAATTACTTCTTCTTAGAATTAGTGTTCAATCCTGGCTTCATCTTTGCCAGCCAAGGTGTGTTCAGGCATTGCCTCACCATTATACCTTCAATGGCAGAATTTACTGTAAAAGGATTAATTATTCACTGGGTTTTAATTTAGCTTATTTCGCTGACTGGAAAATGTGCTAAATTAAAACCCAGTGAATATGTAAAATTAAGCATAGAACACATTATCTTAATGATAAAACCGTGAATTTAAAACCCACTGAATATGCCTGAAATGCTAAATCAGTGAAATTTAAACCTAGTGAATATTAGTCATTTTACAGTACACTATAAACCTGTATTTACTGTCGACCAAATGAAACACAGCTGTGCATGCTTTGGTGCGTTTCCATGGTGAATGGAATATGAAGTCACATGATTTGTCTGTTAAGCTATGAAGTGATATAAGACAGCAAAATCTATTGGTACGAATTTGAAATTGGTGCAGGTTGCTGTTACAGGAACACTGATTGGTGGATCCAATCCCTTGGTGCACCCAATCATATCATTCAATTTAACTGTGATCAAATACAGCTTTTCCTAAAAACAATCATGCACGCGTTCGCAGGGATGGTCATGGATGGTTGGCTTAAGCAAAAATGTGTGAATCAGATGATGTTCTGGCATGAGTGAAGATAATGAGACTCAACAACTGGCATTACAGATGTTAAAATTGATACCTATTGTACATGTACTTGTTTTGTTCACAGCAATAGCATTGATTGAACTGTGTAAGAGTAAAGATAATGAAACTCAACGACTGGCATTACAAACTTTGGAATTGATAGCTATTGAATGTGCTGATGTCATATTCTTCCAGGCAAGTGAAATAATGTAATCCAATGTAAATATTCAGTATCCAAATTTTTTTTTTTAAAGAAATGCACATTCAGTTCTTGCACAAATACCACACAATAATAGACAGTGTGTTGCTTTGAAAGTGACAATAGCTGTAACTATCAATCTTTTTTCTCTGTTTTTTTATTTTTGATAAAACATCTCCTGTCATTAGTGCCAATTTGTAATAGCCTTTGCCAAAATGTGGACACTGGGAGCATTGCATACACACTATATACTGATATTTTACATTAAATCAATTGCAAGTGAAAAAGTGATGGTCTAGGTGTTGTGCCAGGTCTCCAGAGGGTGCCATTTATCGAAATCCTCAGGGATTTGTGAACCTCAGGGAATATCTTACTGGGTGCCCTGGCAAAATGTCAGATACGTCACCATCTTGAGAGGCTAAACATATCTCTGACTGCCTGTCACTGATAATTTTATTTGTCATTTCCCATAATATTGTGCGTCATTAATTCTACAGGTCTAATACACTACCAATTTCAACAATATGGGGGCTACTCAACTTTAAGTTTTCACATTACTTTTTATGTGACATTAGTCTTGTGTAGGGTCACTTTGCCCATGCAATTGTGTCTAAAACAATATTACGATAACAGTCTTCATGTGGTTATATTAAAGTAAAAAAACATTTCGAAATCAAAGCTATTTGATACTGTAAAACCATTTATTTTCACTGACATTTAATTTCACTATGTTGATGTTTTGAGCATATTCACTGTGTTTTAATTTCAAAGAATTTGTCATAGAAACAATGAGTTTTATTATTTTACACGTAGATTTAATTTAGCGGATTTTATAGCGAAAATAGGAAAATTAAAACCCTGTGAATAAGTAATTAATACACCTACAGTAGCCTTCATTTTCTAAGTACCGGTATGTACATAGTAATATATGTGTTTCCTTTTGTAATCAATACATCTACAGTAGTCTTCATTTTTCTAAGTATGTACATAGTAATATGTGTTTCCTTTTGTTACCAGGATAACATGTTGGATATTTTACTTGGCTTAGCAACATCAACACTGGATGAAGGTATATATCTACTTGCTGGCAAGATATTGTTGTACTATGCTGAAAACACTGATGTAAGTCAAATATGAATTGTTAGGATTACTGAACATTGACTAAGAAATGGATGTATGCAGAATAAATGGCTATGCAGTCAAAGCAGTAACATTGTTTCTGATAAGTCATCATAAATGACAAGTTCCTCCAATTCATTCAAATGATGCAGTATTTTCTCTGTTAGTAGCCCATACACTTATGTAAATACTGGTATTGGAGTTGTAGCAAAAAATAAATAAAAAAATAAAATAGTCATATTTTAATGATCCGGCATACAATAAATACCAATTTAGGTGTATGAGCACATCTATTGAAAATGTGCTTTTAATAGGGCAATACGGTCTTTGTATCAACTTTATTCAAAGAAATGATTCTGATAAACATGATCTGTGTTCTAATTTTAGTTTGAATATAACTGCAATCTATGCATATTTGAAGTGAAGCTATCAGCTTATCTGCATATTGTTTCCTTATTCACAGACATGTAGCCAATTGTTGGCTAAAGAGAATCTGAAAGATTCCCTGTCTCAGTTTGCAAAGACATCAGACCCAATATTACAGAAAGTAGTGGCAAAGATTGTCTTATCAACAGTAGAAGAACCAAGTCTTGCGTAAGTATACATATCCATAATACTGTAGAAAACTTTATTTTCGCTGTTTTCGCTGAAGGGATGATTCCGTGAAAATAAAATCCAGCAAATATACTTTTTTTTTTCTATATTTCACATTAAACTCATCAAAAATCAGTGAAAATAAATTCCATACAAAACGCCTTTTCAGCAAAAATTAATTCCAGCGAAAAAATAAAGTATTCCACAGTAATCTACAAACCATAATCTACTAATTACCTATCTGAGTATAGTGAGACTATTACGATAATGTACTTATTGGCGAAATTTAAAAACCCAATGAATAATTAATGCATATACATTAGTAAAATTTGGTTGTTATGTACTGGTAGTTATTATTTTCAGTCTTCTTTAAGTGGTTTGTTTTAATTTGCCTACAGCATTCGTGCTAAGGAAATGAGTTTACAAGATATCCTGGTGTACATACGTGACAATGCCGCAGATCGTGATGCTTGGAATATGGCAGACGAAGGAATACAGATATTCGCTACTGATGATTTCTTCCGTTTACAACCACATCCTGGGTCTAGCTCTGACAGTATGGGTTCTCTGTCCAGTATCACAAAGCGACCCATCATGGCTAGTTCAAGTAGTCTCACTGCTTAGTAGGACACACTAATAATCTTGCTGCTGAAGAATTGTTTTACCATACCATATTTGCTCTATTGGAAGCAAATATAAACCAAAAATTGCATGTATTATATATGGAACAATTAATTACGTATCTAAGCAAATAACACCGAATACGTGCTGAGATCATGAAACCCATCCACGCGACCCGTGCCATTAAGGATGCTTAATAACAGTAATAAGCTTGGTTATAAAGCATCCTTTTTTGGGGATGCCCGGTGGCTGAGGGGAAGACATGCAGTGGCGTGAAGCTAGGCAATTAGGTGTCGTACACGAGCACTGGTTTGAGTCACGCATGCAGTACATGTTTACTCTGATTTGATGTAGTATTTACCTTGCACTTTATTTGGTGTTATCTGCTTACTTTACTTTACTTTCTATGTTGACAGCAACTATGAGTTTATATTTGTTTCTCAGTACTTAATTATGTTCCTAAGCTCATATGATAGAGCAAATATGGTATTACCGTAATAGTATGTCCATAGAAGTGTGTGTTTGAAGTCATATTTTAACCTTTTCACCACCAGTTCCCTGTTTTTTTCATCACAAATTCACAAAACAGTCCTGTTTACTGTCTGCACTTTCCTTCAGAAGATTGGGACAAAAATAGCCAATTTCTTTGAGTGAAAACTGAAAATTCACTCAAATGTTGCTTGTTGGCTACAAAATTAGGGTTCATTTCCAGAAATATTGAAGAATGGACAGAAAAGGTGCCGCAAAATGTGGGCAAGAATGTCTGGTGGTGAAAAGGTTAATGACCCAGCATTCTAATAAATGCAATTTTTGATTTACATGTGTGTGTATTAGAGATATGCTAATACAGCAAACACTGTATCGATGTGAAAAAGAGAACACCATCAGGTTTGTGTATACCGGTAAAGTGCTTCAGTTTGAAGTCAGCTAAATTTAATATTGCAGTAATATATTTGGAATACTTCTTTTACAAAGGTTGTGTGACCTTATTCTTGTTTTACAATTATACATTCCATTTTTAAATTAACTTTATTTTATATTTTTATATCAACTCACTCTTTACATCAAGAGGCTGATGAGATTAGAAAGAGGCTGGTCCTTAGTGTAAATATTTTTTTATTTTGTTTTAAAATAAAACATGGATCATTATACAAATTTGTATTTAGTTTTTGATTGACATGTATGTACGGTATACATGTACTATATATATATATATGGAATGAAATGATTAGTAAAATTCATTCATCAAGATCCTGTCAATCTTTTTTGTCCTCTATACATACTAACTCTATACATTTATTTTATAATACAAATGACAAAACTTGATTATAACTTCAACTTTGATCAACAAATTACATTATGATGAAAGGATCAAGTGTAATCTATACGTATCTTTAATAATTGTATATAGTGTACATTGCAAATAAAGTATACTTTATAGAAAACTTACACAGATTTATTACTAATGGGGAAGTTAAATAGTGCAGTGGTTTTTAATAGTTTGTGGATGAGTGTATTCAGAAAATAGAATCAAAGGAGAACATTTCTTGTTCAATAAATTTCCTGCATTCAGGCACACTGTGACAGGAACAGTTACTTGCTATGTACAATGAAAGATTTCAAGTAGCTACAATGAAATTCATTCTATATACTGGTAACTACCTACAATTAAAATAAATGGTTGATCTACCTATACAATCTGTATCTATATTATGAAAAGAAGGACATAGATAATGATAACATGTGTAAAATTATACAAAAAACTCTTTGAAAATATTACTAATGATAAGATTACATGCAACTAAGTGGAGGGAAAATATGAAAGATAAGTCTGGCTTAATCCACTATAGGAAGTTCAAAAACTTTGAACCAATATGGACTCTGTGACAAATTTTAAGGAGATCAAACTGAAATTTGCACACTTGGCTTGGATATGGTAAAAAAGGAAATTGTGGAAAATAATACTTCTCAAGACTGCACTTGCCCATGTTGAAGGGGGGGGGGGGGCAAGGATGGGATAGGAAATAAAGTGAAAGTTCCGTTTGCAAAAAAAAAAAAAGATAAAGCAAATTCCTAATTACATTTTATGTTTTTACAATATTTTTGATAATGTGAGTTTAAGAATCAAAATTGGAAATTACGACGTTTAATTTGGAAATGCTTTATACGCTTACAAAAATTAATCTTTTTACAAATTACGGACGAATAATATAGCTGATTACATTTTACACTTTGCCCATGTCTACGAATCTACGTTTTTTATTTATTTTTATACATTTTTACGAAAATAAAAACAATTGATTACAGTTTATGAAAATACTCCTAGCCGATTCTCTTGTTAGAATGAAGTTGAAACCCTGGAACATTTTTTCCTTTGTTGCAAATGTTTTGCAGTGCAGAGAGAAAAGCTAATCAAAGATATTGAACAGGGGAGAAAAAACCGTATCTCTACACAGATTTTGAACAAAGGATGGGAATTATGTGGCTATTGCTGGGAGACGGTACATAACCCTATACAGGTTTGACTAAACTAATGAGCAATGAATTCATTTTCTTTATTCTCTATAACAATATATGTACCCCCCCCCCCCCCGTACCATATGACATATGATATTAATTAGCTCCCACAGTGAATTTGCTCTTGATGCCTTCATAGAATCCATGAAGCCAGCCATAACCAGTCTTGTATTGTTTATGTCCATCAGCGATTGTTTTGTTGATCGATTTTGTAATCTCTGTCTTGGCCATTTTCCCACTGATCACTGAAGTCAACCAGTCCAGACCTTCGTACAGACCATCACCTTCAATGGAAATCGCTCCCTGCACATCTGAAAATAAAAATATACCTGAAATTTAAATACTTGCTCATCTACAACCCCTTTTTGATACTTTTTATAGTTATCAATACAATCTATATCAGATGTTAAAAACTGGTTGCCCATTGGGACAACCATGAAAATAACAGATTGACCTAACTGCAATCTAGTGAAGAATGAGTCAAAGCTACTTATAGTAAAAGTATAATCTTGATACTTACATATTTTTCTGTCTCTGTATTTCTCTAACTGTAATTTATCTCTGATTTCATCAGGAGTCATTGCATTTGCCAAATCTTGTTTATTAGCAACAACAAGAATTGCTGATTCTCTCAGTTCATCTTCCCCAATCAATCTTTCCATCTCTTCTTTAGCCTCTGAAAATCGCTCCCTATCACTGCTGTCTATTACAAACACTATCCCATCTGTATTTGCATAATAATGTCTATACAGGGGTCTCTGTGGTATAAACAAAAATGGTATAATTGATATGTATATCACTGTCTCCATGGTGTAAATAAAAGTGGTATAATTGGCATATATTGAATATAGTTTTGTTAGTAAAAGTGGTATAATTGACAAATTGTACAATGGTCTATGGTGTAAACATAAGTGGTATAAATACAAATGTAGCATATTTGAGGTGATGAGAACAAACGTCACATAAAATTGGTATGAATTACAAAAATGTGATGTAAACATATAATTAAATGAATTTAGACATTTGAGAGAAAATATATTTAGATAAATTTATGAAGGAAGTAAATTTCTAGTTGAATTCACATTAACTCTGGAAATGCATGTCCACCTGCATAAATTTTAGTACAATGTTAATTTTGGCCCCAATAGGCATGATTTTCCATTGGTTATAATACATCTTAATCAAAAATTTTGAAGCAGCAGAAAAAAACTATGTGGGTGAATTTATTTTGTCAAAGATATGTGATAATACTAGCAGACTGATTTTATTAACACAGTAAAATATGTCACGTTACACATACCGATATGTCATAATTATAGACGGACTTCCCACCATTCTTCCACCAAAATCCCATGTTTGAAATTTTACATTTTTATATTCCATCGGCTCAACACCTACAAAATGAGCAAATGTTGACCTATAGAGGGCGCTAATACCACAAATGTGAAATAATTCAGTTGGCAACCAAAATACTATTTCTCAGCTGGTGTGATTTATGAACAAATGTCTAATTATTGATATTATCAATATCATGTCAATCTATACTAAAATCCTGCTTTTATTTAAAATTATTATTACTATATACTTGTGATATCTTGTATGTGTAGCCATTTGCTCTTTCCAGATAAGTCTTTCATTAAATCCTTTTTGCTAATTTTCTGGTTATTTGTTTGTTTTTTAATATATCTATGTGAGTTTTTATAGGAAAAGTAATACATAGCCACTAGTTTCCTATTTCTTAATATCTTTAAACTGTGCGAATGATTATAGATTACAAAGTGACTTACAATTTTACCTCTGCCACCAACATCCCATGTTGTGAAAGAAATTCCTTTATGTTCTACTGTTTCAACATTGAAGCCTATAATTAAACAGTATATATTATTTATAATATATGATTTTTTTTTGTCTTATTTATTTCTAATATCAGTAATTTGAACATTTCTAGCTGTACTGTGTCCATCTTATAAGCTAATATGAAATATTAGTTCCTTACAATGGCATGTCTGCTACAGTAATATGCACACCGTTTTGATTCAAAAACTGTTACTCTTCTTGTTAGGAACAATGTATAATTAAGTATCAACTATTATATTTTGATGTGTAGAGACAATGTTGGAACAGATCACTGAACATCATACGAATTGTACGCTTCACGAGCTGGATGTACATACATGTACTTCTTCATGAACTGCGATAGCCGGAATAAATGAAACTGAAAAACGATTATATTCTCATTTTTTCCCACTTACTTATATTCATATGTGTAAAACTACACCTTTTAAATCTGACTTGCAATGTGAACAATTGAAAAAAAAATGATTTGAGTTGGTTCAAAAGCTGAAATAATTAAGGTGGGAGAGCGTCACCTGCGCACATGCCGGAATTAAGTCCCAAGTGATGATAACAACACATGCTAAAAATGCAAAGGCTCATGGGTAGACGCTTATTTGTAACAATGACACGCTATGGCCATCTGGCGCAGGTGACGACTTCCCCCTTTAAAGGCGGTGGTTGTCGTGCAGCGCGTGTTCGAATTTCATGTAAATATACAATGTATTTTAATACATGCGTTGTGTACGTCGCTATGAGTCCCATATCGAACAGGACGCGGCACGACGACTGCCGCCCTTTAAAATAGCGTAAATTTAAAATAATTTACCCTTTACTCACCTATAGTGGGTATTGTTGTAACAACTTCGCCAAGTTTTAATTTATATAAAAGTGTTGTTTTCCCAGCAGCGTCAAGTCCTGCAAGATATGAATAAACAAATTCCGTAATATAAAAAAATACAAAAATGCTATTTTCTGATAACAAAAATCGTTAAAAATTTTTTTACAAATTCTTACCCATCATTAACAGACGCACTTCTTTCTTTCTGAACAGTTTTGTGAAAATTGAAAAATTGATTCCCATGCTGGATTTTGTAGCTGTTTTCAGCGTTCGTATAATTGTAAATGTCGAACCCTGCTTTCTGAAACCGCTTTTATACAGTCTGGTGATGTCATCACTGACAACGTCTTCACTTCCACGTCGTCGGCTAAAAATAGAAAATTACTTTTTTTGGAAAATAGAGGTCGCCCTCTACACTCGCAAAAAAAGTATCTCATCTCGCGAGACTTCAGTGACAATTTTGCGCATGTGCAGATAGTGCTAGCAACAAGGGATAACATTTAAAGTTGCAGACAGCTCATCCCGGAAATTCGCATTTCTTCGCCAAACAGACTGTAAGAGTGTTGCGACGATGACGTTGAACCCGCTAGCTAATCCCAAGGGAGTTAAACTCTTGTGTGAGTTATGCCAGAAGCCGGCATTTGTACAGTGTACGCAATGTCGAGTAACCTACTACTGGTAAGTTTTGATCGTCGTACGAGCTCCTTTCAATCGACCACCACCATCATCATAATAATAGTATATGGCATTGAGGCTTTCTTTTACTCAGCTCTATGGGTCTTATGATATGCTGTGATTGTATTTCAACTATTACCACTGAGAAATAGATTACGTTCAAGTTGTCAACACACTGTCACAAACGTGGGTATTCTAATAAAAGAAACAAAATAATTTTGTCCCAAAACAATTCAAAGGAGGAACCGCATCCCCACAAACTAATCATTAACAATGCCGTATTTGCTCTTTTAAAATCTCCTTTCCAATATAAGTGCATTTAAACCAACAGTTTAAATTTGTACATCGATTCAGTAAAATGTGACCTATTTTGCACACTTGTTATTTACGTAAGAATTAGCCCTGTGTACATCACGATTACTTTTTTTTAGTAACCCTGTATACATGGACTGTGTCAGCGATGATGCTACCCAACCACAGTTTGTAGGAGCATTGTCCATTAGTTCGCCCTGATTAACACTGCGCTATACGTAGGGCTTCGTATAAAGCATATACACTACTAATATAGCAAATACTGTAATCACATTTTCTAACATGAGAGATCACACAAAATCATTTCGTAATTTACTGAAAGACAAAGAATATTCAGATAGCAAACCCTGGGAGCAAATCATAATCTACTGATTGCCAAACCTTTGAAAAAATAATTGGTGACTGTGGGGGGGGGGGGGCTGTTTATTTTTACCTCTATATATTTTGACACCTTCCTAACTCACATGTAAGAAAAATACTTTAATATTGGGGGGTTTACAACTGTTGCATGTTCATGTAGTTTATGTATTAGATAAACAATGATAACATGCAAGCTACTGTATATATATACAAGTGTCAGTGATGATACACCATATCACCAGTGAAAATATTTGAATTACAAAATGTAATGGGTATTCAAGAAATCACAATTGAAATTAATTTTAAATTCTAGAAACATACACATAGCTATTTTAATATCATATACACTATGCCATAACTAGGTTACGGCATACAACAAGAATTCTTATGCACAGATAAATCAGTGATTGGCTAGCACCATTGCTCATTGTCATTACCGTAATACATCATTAATCATCATGAACTTGCTGATTCAAAGAAAAAAATGTCTGTGATAAAGTGATTCTGAATCAGAGCTGATATTTCAAATTTTTACCTTGCATAAAGACATGGCCGAAGTCGCATCAAAGTAATTTCACGTCTATGTACATAAATTGTCCAACTTTTCATAATTGCATCTTTATTCATGATGACATTGGTACAAATGCCATAACCTTAAATTCTATTACTAGTATATAAACACAGTCCCTCTATAGAGGGACTGTGATATAAATAATAATTATAAAATTATTATATGATTCATTCACATGTTTGTGATTTACACAGTAGCCTCTATCTTAAAACTATTACTGGTTCAATCCCTATTTCACAGGGTTTGAACTTCAAGGTTGAGAGGTCACCCCATTCAAGGGCAAGATTTAAAAATTGAATTTTTAAAATCGTCTATCATCTAGGAAAGTGTCTGGGGATGTTGCAAAGTCCCTCGGCAATTACAGGTGCGGGAGTTACATGTAGGTGTATGTAAATATCTTGATGCTAAGTTCAAGCCTTTTATTTAGTCTAGTATTGTACAGGTATCACATAATCAGTCATATTTGTCTTGTTGCAGCGGTGTTGAACATCAACGAGCAGACTGGGAAGGAATACATGAAAAGATATGTGAATTATTAATCCCGCTGCGAACAATGACACTGCCATTCTTACCATCAGAAGAAGAAAGAAAAAAACGAGAAGATGAAAAATTACACAGACAGGTAAAACATTATTTTATTAATACATAGCAATGTATGCAACATGTGTTATAAGTACATTGTTTGTTCACATGAAATTAGAATACTGTAAAAAACTTTATTTTCGCTTGGAATTTATTTTTCCTATATTTCACATTCAACTCATCAAAAATCAGTGAAAATATATTCCATACAAAACACCTGAAAAGCCTTTTCAGCAAAAATTAATTCCATCTAAAATAAAGTATTTTACAGTACATGTTATTGTTGGTTTACATGAGCTTCTATTTTACAGTACCGGTATGTGCTGTGTGACAACCACCTTTAGTGCAATTAGTGCTTTGATTTTTACTAGGTTTTAAATTGTACATGTTTGGTGTACAATATATATACCTTAGTTTTGTTAGAATCTATAAATGCTAAATATAAAGTAATCAATATCTAATATCTTATTCTCTTTCAGTTACATATGATAGAACTAACAAGGACTACTGGACAGAAGTTATTATTTGAAGGCAAGCATTCCCAGGCTGTTCCAGCTGCCATGCAATCACTAAGGTTTAGTATAGACGTACATGGTTTGAACAGTATTGAGCTAGTGCCTTCATATCTTATTTTAGGAGAGGCTAGCATTGGTGAGTAGTTATTTGATTACTTAGTCGTCTACCACATGAGAATAACAATAATATGATCTCTCATTAAAATGTATATTCAACTTTGGTGGTAAATTATGTAGGGTGGTGTATCCATGATTCGTTTGTGAAAATATCACTGCTAGATATGTAACATGACTTGTGAAAATAACATCTATACCATGGGGCTCTGTCCAGCCTTTATCCCTTGCTACTGTGCATAAATTTTTGTTTGTGCTCCCCTTTAGCTTTGCTGTCTAAATCACTGCTGATCATAATAGTCTATCTGCACATTTAACCTGAACTTGTTACTTCATTACCTACCACAGTGTAGACTTAATATTATTGTATTTTACTATATAAAGGTCTTGGTAAACTCTCCCAAGCAGAGGAATATTTAGCACAAGCACAGTGGACTGTATTGAAAACACCTGACTGTGGTGATGCTATTAAATCTAAACTATACAGAAATTTAGGATTGTTGTATGCTGCGCAGGGAAACTTTGAAGAGTCATTGAGACAACTAGCTAATGATGTAAGTATAGACCAACAATTCCTGTTCATTCATGTTGTAGGAATAGAGAACGATGGTTATAAGCTGGTTTGTATTTCATCTCTCTGAAACATAGACACTTACTATTGCTGTAGTTTTGATATACTGTAAAACTATTTATTTTCATTGACATTTAATTTCACTATTTTGATGTTTTGAGCATATTCACTGGGTTTAATTTCACAAATTTATCAAGAAAACAATGCATTTTATTGTCATTTTATATGTTCAAATAGATTTAATTCATCGAATTTTACTTATCAATGAAAAATAGCAAAATTAAAACCTAGTTAATAATTAATGCATTCACAATAGCATTCAAATTCTTGTTATCAACAAGCTCAAGAGTACTGCACATAATGAGTCAAACATTGATCCATCTCAGCTCCTCGGAGGCATACAATTCAAACTGCCATATTGGCTCACATGTATCAAGTTTCAATGTTGCACAACCAGAACTCTATATAACTTAATGGACCAAATAAAATCTTGTTCATATTACTGATTGTCTGTTTTTAACTTGGCATTTTCAGCTTCTTTAAAACTACAAGTCCGCTTGCTTTTATACTTGGCGTCTATGTACCTTGGTTGGACCTATCTCAATTTATGTTAACTTTATGATGATACATTCAATTCTCAGTTTTTTATGAATATTTTTGTCATTTTTGGTAAAAAATTCTATTTCAACTATTTCTTGAAAATAGCCTAATTGCTTTGATATTTCACACATAGACACCTTGAGTGGAGTCAGATTTGTTCATTTTGTGACAATAAGTTCAATAATGATGATACATTCAATTCTCTAATTTGAGTGAATATTTTTGTTATTTCTCGTAAAAAATGTTATACAGCGGAGCTATACTGGCCAACAAACAGCTTGTTTAAAAAGAAAGTTTGAAAAAAAGCAATCTATATAAATGTAAATAATGATGTTGTGAGAAGCCAGCACCATTTGATAGTTACTCTATGCTAGACCACATGTAGTTTCACAATGTTTTGTTCCTGTAGATCTACTATGCGTCAGAAACATATGGTACTGATGACATCCACACATCTGGAGGTTACTTCCACATGGCTAATGTGTTCTTCCGACAAAACAGAATGGATGTAGCAGATTCATTATACACAAGAGTCACTAATATATGGCATGCTCATTTATTGAAAATTGTCAAAATTCGTACCAAGACGCCCTCAACACCGTCCGGTGTTGGTCCTGCTGCTACTAAACTTAAAGATGAGGAAGAAGTATTGGGTATGTACCAGTTTAATTTTGAACAGTGTACTATATTTTCTCTAATACAAGTGCAATCACTTTTACATACCGGTATATGAGTGTCGAAACAGTTTACAATGCCCAAAATAAATTTCTTAAATTATCCGGGTTTCCAAAATACAGCCAAAGTTTATTGTGTTTTTTAATGCATACTTTAAAACCATTTACATTCATGTTTTGAACAATTTCACTGGGTTTTAAGTTCACAAACTTAACAGGAAAAGTTCTAATGTTATTTCACTTGTTTGTGTGGATTTAATTTAGCAAATTTCATTTATCAACAAAAATAGCATAATTAAAAACCAGTGAAAAAATAATTAATTTTACTGTACATGTATAGTTTTATCTGATGACGTATTGTCCTTGTTATTGCAGATGAAGCACAGGAAGCGGAAGCCAAACAAGTATTGAATTCAATTCATGATATCAGAGAGCAGACTCCAGACCAGGAGGCGATAGTCATGGCTAAGATATGTCATGCCTTAGCTATGTTATATTATGTACTCCTTGACACAGAAAAGGTATGATATGGTTTTCTGCTTTTGTGGATTTTTTGAAAATTGCACTCAGAGATCATTCCTAATACTTGATTATAGTCTCCTGTTGTCAAATATTTGATTGTCGGAATGTGTACGTATTTTCAGTAGTTTTCTGTGTCTCTAAAAATCACAGATCATGTCAGCCCAATATTTGATTGTTAAAATGTTATTTCCTAATGCTGTTAAATACTGTAAAACTATTTTTCACTATTTTGATGCATTGAGCATATTCACTGTGTTTTAATTTCATGAATTTGTCAAGAAAACTTGATTGTTATTTTACATGTTCACGTAAATTTAATTTAGCAGATTTTACTTGTCAGTGAAAATAGTGAAATTAAAACCTGGTGAATAATTAATGCATTTACAGTAGTTTTCAGAAGATCCACCTCTGTTCTAAATTACTACAGCCCACAGTAAATCTGGGCAAGCTGTCAAATATTTCTCAAAGTTCATGCATATTCATGTCTGTAAATATTTCACCTACCAGTAATAATAGTTTGAATACCCCAATACAGCTCCATGAATGATCCCAAGGGTGTAGCTTTAAAGCTGGGGAGTCGTCACCTGCACATACGTCAGATGGCCATAGCGTGTCACTGTTTACAAACAAGCGTCTACCCATGAGTCTTTGCATTTTTAGCGTGTGTTGTTACCATTGCTTGGGACTCAATTCCTGGCATGCGCAAGTGACTACCCTCCTGCTTTAACCCTCTAAGCACCAAAGTCAAAGTCTTTTGGCACCATCTACAAAATTCTATGTATAGTATGGTTCCCTCCACAAGAAATGTTGATAAATATTGGCAAACATTTTAATCAAAAACTAAAAGCAATATCTGAAACTGTCTGTAGACCTGAAACGGTGATGAAATTTAATGAAAATTTACAAAATGTGAAAATTTGTGCACAGAATTTTAGGCAAGGATTATTTTGTATAGTCTGGTTCCCCAACAAAAAATTTTGATAAAAATTGGCAAACATTTTGATTAAAAACTAAAAGCAATATCTGAAACTGTCTGTATAGCTCAAAATCGTAAGGAAATTAGTGAAAATTTACAAAATGGGAAAATTTGTGCACAGAATTTTAGGCGAGAAAAAATTTAGCGCTCAAAGGGTTAAGCAAAAAACATTGTTCATCGTATGTGAGTATATTCTTCTAGAACCCAGCTTTTCAAACAATGAATAGATACTCGCCAAGTAACTGACGAGGAATGGTTTAGTAAAAGTACTATTCCTGTTAATCATAAAAGTGCATTTTTTTACAGGCTAAGGAATATGCCAAGAAAGCCAAGAGTGCTGTGGATGCTTCTAATGATCCAGAATCTGATATGGCTGTAGATATAGTAGAATTTGTAAGAATTGCTAACAGACCACCAGTGTCTAGAGATAGTACATTCCTGCATCCAGTATCTCACTGACAGCATCTCAAGGTTGTCAGAAGTACAATTATACTAGTATTATTTTTTTGGTCTTTTGAGATTCTTTCGTACCACTGGATCAGAGGCCATGACTATTTTGAGAGAAGTGCATGACAAAAAGTCATGTTATCTGAAGGAGCAGTGTCACATGAAGTTACTTGTATCTAAACCCCAATGGGTAATTCTGTTAAAACATTAGTTTGTTATAAATAACACCTATCTTTGTATATTTTGATTCTTTGTAAATATTTGTGTATCATTGTTGAATGTATATTTTATTAAATATGTAAATATTCCATTAGACCATGTGAATACATTTTGTCTTATCTTTTCAAATGAATTCAGCTAATATGTTGGGTTCTTTTGTGCAAAAAGCATAATCATATTACTGCAGACCTGAAAATGATCATAACGCACTTGTAGTTGCTATCCAAATTGGCATATTTACTTTAAAATCCTAGCCTTGCTCTCATTACAATCTACAATAATTATGGCTGTGATTTTTAACTCTCTGATATCACAATAAAATCAACTCAAGCCTTGGTATGTCCCCTCTTAATTTTTTTCGCAATAAAAACACCCATTAATCATGCCAAAGTGGACTGGACTGGACTGTAAGAATCATTATCTTTTCAAGGTGTGTGCAACTGAATCTTTCACCCAATCAAACCTGTACAGTTTAATTTTTGTCACCCATGCCATTGTAAGTCAAAATGTTACTGCAGGAATAGACAGGATGTCAAAAATTATTTTTAAATGTTTTTAAGTGCATTTGAGTATACAATTTTTGGATTGAAAATCCAAAAAATATTGTTAAAATCACTAGCTTTTAGCTGCATTTTATGTTGCTTGATGTCTGATAGGCAAGACGTTAAACAAAGGAACCTAATTAATGTTTGTCAAGTACAGTACCACCATTATAAATGCAAATGAAAGATGTACCAGTGGACTGCAAAGAATGAAACACTATTTGAAAACAAGTCTTCTGGTTCTTTAACTCTCAAGATCTATGTGGTTATTGGTGTCTATCTTCTTGTTTGACACATTGTCATTAAATGCTGTCAATATGTGCAGTAACATTTGTGTATCCGTCAATGTGTTAATAAAAAAAACAGGACAACTATTAAATTTGTTGATGCATTAACATTTTACTATCATTGACAAATCATAACAATTGAATTGCTTACATGTAAGTCTTACTATTGTCCAGAGTCAGTAGGCTACATGGAACAGTAAACACGCAGTCAGAAATTTATCGGTATATATAGACAAGAATTAGGGGTGGGCCATTAGAAACTAAAGAGGAAAAACAGTTCTGCATGCCTATTTCTTAGGGAAAAATATTACATAGAAGAAATAAAAATAAAATCACAGTGAATTCATTATTAAAATAAAAATGAGCATAAAACGAAGTGAAGGAAAAAATATTTTGTATAGTTTTGTGCCCCCCCCTCGAGTTTCTAATCGCCCAGCGAGCCATATTAAGATTTCTGGGCTACTATTGTTTGTTTATTGTGTGAAATATAAAATAAACGCTGAATGTGGCTTCCTTTGCTAACAATCTTTAATGATGTTTCAAAGCACATGGATTTTAACTTGTTATACAAAGATTCACTTCTGTGGGCAGCAATAATTCAAAACAAGACAGAATCCTGACAAATCCATGTTTTTCTTTGCAATTTAAACATTCACGTAAAGCTCAATGAACACTCAGTGTGCAACAACATTTATACAACACTAAATATAAGAATTAATTTATACATGAAATAATTATGAAATATACAATCCTATTATAAACAAGGTTTCCTACATGAATAATATCACATTATCTATGAACATTAGAATGCATTTATGAAAATGCAAATTGTGCCCTTTATGGCATTACATTACAATTATTTTTGATATTCCACCAAATATTGATGGTTTTATAAAAGTTGCAATCTCAATACAATATCTTAGTGTTTCATTACTAGTCTGTATTGAAGTAAATGACAAGAAAGGAATCTTGCAAGTTGTAGATCATTTTCAATCAGATTGGGTCCAGAAAGGTTAGATGTACGGTACTGGTATATGTTACAAGCAAGATTCTGAACACTATGTCAAGTGGGGGTGACAGATTTACATGTCAACCTCGATACTCATAAAAATTTGGAAATTTCTTGTTTAAGAAATATTTGTTTAAGTAATCAAGTTTTTGATGCACAAACATGCTAAATCAAAGGCAAGTCACATGACTTTGCCCAAATCAGAAAGAATGTCATATGATTAAACACATGGTATGCGAGTGTAAGTGTTGCCGCACACCACTCTCTGCAATGCAATGCAACACAATAGTCAGAACATGGAGAGTTGTCTTTGTCTGGTGCACAACATAACCAGACAGGCATAATAGGTTCTTTAGTAACGCTGTGGATACCAAGCATGTCTTTTATCGGTCACGTTGAGTTGCTTTGAGTGGTTTGCACGTCCAGTTGTATGAAAAAGCACAAATCAAAACTGGAAGACTGGACTTATCAGAATAAGCTAAAGCGATCGCATGATTATGACGTACACAAGGCATAGCTTTATAGTGAGTGGCACACTTTACATTCAACGCAGTAGCATGCAACTCAAATCTGAATTCAAATCACCAAGTATTGACACTGGTTTTTCCTTTATAGTTGATAAATATGAATATTGCACAAATCTAATAATAAAGAAAATGTTCACCTCCACCTTTACCCATCAACCCTGTGAATAATGGAACGTCTCATTTACCATAGAGAAAAACTATAAAGATCACTTTCTACACTTTGAGCACTTTTTTTTTCTCTCTCTCAAATTTGGGTAAATTTGTTCAGCTTCTGTAATTTTCACCAATTCAATCTTAATTTTGAACCAAACAGATAAAATGTGACATTAATTCAAGCAACATTTTATGTAGAAAATGGCAGACTATAAATGGAACTTTTTTGTGGATGGTGCCTATAGTTGACACTCAAAAGTTGAAAATAATTACTGAATAAAAAGACATACAGCCCATGATTGTATAAGGGCAAGAATGGGAATGTGTGCTATATGTGGGATCGTTATTTAATTTCCCCATTTTTGCCCTATTAACATACAGTAATGGGATTCCTTTATTTCAATTATAAAACTCTCAACTCTCACGAAAATTGAAAATACATGAAGTGATAGCTTGAGAAGAAACCATTAATGTAGTTAGTGGTCATTTGTGGCTCGTACTTCAGTTACTCAAAGAATGTTCACAAGCAAATGGCAAGTGAAAACACATTCGTTATTTTGTATTCCCAAAACATCTACTGAACTAATCAGTCTCTTCCACAGATGAATTCAAATTTTATTCTGATTACTTCCATAGAATTTTGTTGCAGTGTCGGTACGACGCCTTCATGCTTTTGTACTCAAGAGCATACCTACTTTTTGTGTTTGACAATGTTTCCATGGTTATTTGTCACATTTACTGAAATTTTGGGCTTGAAGAAATGCATTTATATAAAATACATACGAGTAAATAAATAAAAATACAAAACTATGAATAATATTATCGTATTTGATAAACGTGTAAAAAACATGTGATCCCCTGGATTGAGGCAGAGTGTGATTCTGGACCCTCAACCATGCTACCAACACTGACAAGCCATTGTTAATGACATACCGGTAGTCCCTGTCACAGACAAGATATATATCGTGATATGTGATTGGTCCAGTCATGTATTAGATATGAATCCAATGAAACTGCATTTGTTAACAAGATGACTACCATCCTAATCTCAAAAATAAAATGATGTGCATGAAGGTCAAATTCTGTGCCAAGTTTGACCAGAATCCCTCCATACATGACTGAAAATGTGTGATTTTGATACATTTTTAGAACTTAAAATGGCTGCCATTTGACCATCTTGAATTAAATCATGAAACAAATGCATGTGCATATGTCCAATATAATATCTGATTTATCTGTGAAGTTTTGAAACTTAATCAGTCCAAACAATTGTGAGATATGCCTTGATACAGACAGACAAACAGACACATGGATGTCCCTGTTTTGGGACTGCGCTCAGAGACTAATATTTAGTCAAGGCTTCAAGAATGGTGATTTTGTAGAAGAAAATAAACAGTATTTTTTAACATGAAATAACCATGATGGCGATACATTGGATATTGTTGAGTTACACATACAATCTTGTTTGTATGCTCGTCCTCTGACGTCAAGCACACCCAGTTATCGAATGGTACCGATCAACATAAGCATTCCAATAATTGGTACAGTGGATAGTATTTAAATATATAGTTACGTACTATCTCACACAGAAATAATATATATATCTGACTTTATATACCATACATTCAGGAAATTTACAACTACTAAGTACGGTTCGGTTAATTAGAAATATATATCATATTTTTTTAAATCAGAAACAACCAATCAAATGGGTCCACCAATGAACATGTATCATTTAATTTTGAACTTCCATCAACAACTATTCAGCACAAGTCAACGATATTAAAGATTTTTAATTAAAATTAAATTTAATATTAATTTCTTGCTGTTCAAAAGTTCTGTTTTCGCCTGTGAAAGGAATTTGGCTTTTGGCTGAGAAATGAGAATATGTGCAACGAGGTCAGAAAACAATTACCAATAGGTGATTTTCCGAACAATTGCGAGATCTCGCGAGATGCATGAAAGACGCGCGTCGAACGTCTGCTGCAAAAATCGAACGATTTGATTTTGAACTAGAATTTCTTTATTTCGCAGCTTACATTGACCGGCCGATCTTCGACAGAGGAATATTGCTTCCGAATACCCTCACTTAATCAAAATTGCCTATCATTAAATGTGGACAGCACATTATTAAGCATGGAAATGTCCACGAAATACTTTCGCGTTTGTCGAATCCCACGCGATGTTTGACGCGACTACGACGCTATGACCTTTGTTTGTCCTGTTTTTACGTTCGATTTCACGCATAACGCGTGATTCTCGCAGTGTACGGAAAATGGTCTATTATCAAAAAACAAGGCATGATATGACTAGTGTTAGTTATAGGATTACCGTTAACAGATCACTCCAGAAATGAGTGATAATTCATAAAATAAAGTGTACACAAATATAAATGAAAACTAAACTTGAATTGCACTGTATATAAAAGTTGTTGCCATGTCAACAATGATATGTTAGAAATAATGATATTGCTTCAGCTGATCTAAGCTGAAATGCATTTTGGAGTAAGATCCAAAATGAATGGATACAATGAACTTTTCGTAAACTTAGGCGAGGGTTCTCCGAACCCGCCTATTCACATAGTTCATACCCACCATAGACTTCGGTCAGTCCTTCACTCTTAATTTCTCTCCGCCTCGAGTGGAGATGAAATCTAGCGAGCTCTGCTGGATCGCCTGCTTTTTTTCCTGTCCGGATTTATAGCTTGGGTTGTTGCCGCTGCTCGGCATCCGACATGGTAGCTGGTAGGATAAGTTTTCCTTGTCTTTTTTTTTACCCTCGTGTCGTTTTCCCCTTTGTGTGGCGGCACCTTTTATAAGTGTAATTCGTTTCCCTCATGCATGTCGTTATTTATTTTTAATGTATTTAGCAATATATCGATGTAATGACAGCTCCAAGGCTCGCTGCCTTTTTCTTCCGGTCTCCTCGTCTTTCGAGCCGACCGTACAGTGGTTTATTCAGAATTTACCAGCATAGAACCCGCATCCGAGATACTTGGTCGTGGCTACGTGTGGGTTTCGGGTTTTTTTGCGTGAAAGCGTGTTTTTTTCACTGGAGTTCTGAGGCCTGAGATTTTCTTTCAGAGCCATCAAAATCGCTGACACTGACCGCGTCACAGCAAGGTCGCGCGTCTAGTAAACAAATCGGTTAAAGTGAGTTGCGTGTTTTGCATGAGTGGAAAGTCCTCACGCTCGGC